GTCTGTAGCTGTGTTGTGCGTGTTGTTGTGCGTCTGTAGCTGTGTTGTGTGTTGTTGTGTGTCTGTAGCTGTTTTGTGTGTTGTTGTGCGTCTGTAGCTGTGTTGTGCGTGTTGTTGTGCGTCTGTAGCTGTGTTGTGTGTTGTTGTGGGTCTGCGCTCCTACCTGAGGCCTTGGTCTTGTTGCCATGGTGACTCGTGTCCTCGTGTTCTATTGGCTGGCTGCACAGGGACTGGACGCTCAGCTCCGCCGCACGCACAGAAGCATCCTTCAGGTTGCTATGGAGACCGAGGACGTGGGCGCCGTCGGTCGGATGCTGCATCACCTGAGACACAGAGACATCCGCCCACACACACACACACACACACACACAGGTGAGGCGGACTGCTGTGGGTCTGATTGTGTTCTTCAGCTCGTGGACTCGTGGTTCCGGTTTCGTCCTGCGTCCTGTCACACAGCAACACTGAGCTGCTCTCACTTCAGCTGTTTGTGCAGAAAATCACACCTCATGAGAGTCTGAGCAGCTTCTGTCTCCTGCTCCTTCACTGAGGTTCATGTTTCAGCATAAAGTCCTGCAGCTCTGAGGAACCAGAACCACGTGGAGGAGGGGACAGAACTCAGAGACGTCTGCTGTCAGCTAAACGGTTTAAAACCAGAATGAACACAAGCACCAAACTGTGTCCAAAATCAGTCTCACAACCAGTCAGAGTAAAAGAAACAGTTCAGCACAGCCGTAAACGAGCCCAAATCCAGAGTAAAACACGTTTAGAACCAATCTCTCGGCCAATCACGGTCTTCGTGGGCGGGGCTAAGCCCAGGATGTAGCGATGGCGCCCTCTGGCCGGTCGGCTGCTGCTCAGAGCTTCTCGTGGCGGCGTAGCGACACCTAGCGGCGGCAGGAAGTCGTGTGAAATGTGCAGATTTCTAACCAGAGTGTGAGTCGGACCAGTTTGCTGCTGAGCCCTGCTCACCTCGGCCATGTCGATGACGCCCACGGCGAGCGTCTTGTAGCCCAGGATGGTTCGGTTCTTGTAGCGTTTCCTCCTCTGCAGCATCACGTGCAGACGGTTGGAGTCTCGCTTCAGGAAGTGAGGATACTGAAGGACAGAAGACGGAGGAGGAGCTACACTCTCTAAATGGAAAAACCCTGAGAATGACAGCAAATATCTACTGTTTCTTAATTATACACACATTTTCTTTTAAATAACAGCAAACATGTTAAACAATAACATTTCTTTTTTTTAAGATGATGCTATTTTTTGCTGATTTAAACACAGTAAAACAAAAAGGTGTCGTTTTATGAATTAAACATGAGTCTGTGACAATCCGGAGTTCTGAAGTGGACGTGATGAGAGCTGAACTGTTCTCCTGGACGTAGTCTAACAGACAACATGAGTGAGAGCAGCTACAGGCTAGGTGTTCAGTCACACTGTCCCTCAGCAGGAACATCATGTATGAGGAGAAACCTGCAGGGAGAAGGTGAGCTCCAGGTCCGTCTCCATCAGCCCGTCCGGAGGCAGAACGTACTCGTTGGACCTCAGAGTCCTTTTAGAGCCCTGAGATCAGAACCAGGATGAGAACCGGGATCAGATCCAACCAGCAGAGTGAGAACAGAAGAATGAACTTGTGTAACCTGAAGCTATGACGTTGCCGTGGAGGCGTCCGCGGTGAGACAGAGCTCCATCCTTCAGCCTGGATCTGCTCACGTTGGGTCAGACTGCAGCAGCAGAATCACTGAAGGAAGCTGAAAACACACAGATGCTCTGTGGAGCTCTGAACCATCATCTCCTCTGCTCTCAGTGGAGTCACGTTTAACTCTCAGCAGCTTCTGGGTGCTTTTAGCTTCTCTCTCCTGGTCCTTCTCTGAGGTCCATGTTCCTCTGCAGCATAAAGTCCTGCAGCTCTGAGGAACCAGAACCACATGGAGGAGCAGACAGAACTCAGACACGTCTGCTGTCAGCAGAACCATGGAGACCAGAGAGAAGGAACGGTTCTCTGATTACTACTGTTATGGACATGTCCACATTCTGCCCTTTTTAAGACAATAATGTTCCTCTACAGCAGTTCAGAGGCTCATCAGCGCTGGTCCTGTTGGACTGCTGCTGGTTCATAGAAGGGGAGCAGCTCCAGCAGGCTGAAGGAGGTCCCTGACTCGGAGTCTGTATAAATACACGCCTCTGTTCAGGCCTGAGCTCCCACCGGCACTGCGTTTTACCTGGATCTTCACAGCGATGACGACGGAGCTGAGCTCTCGGTCCAGCTCTCTGAGGACCATCAGCCTCTTCAGGGTCAGACTGCAGAGTCTGGAGAACAAACACACACCTGCATCATCATCATCATCATCATCAGCAGCAGCAGCAGCATCATCGTCATCATCATCATCATCATCATCATCATCATCATCATCATCATCGTCATCATCGTCATCGTCATCATCATCATCATCATCGTCATCGTCATCGTCATCGTCATCATCGTCATCATCATCATCATCATCATCATCATCAGCAGCAGCAGCAGCATCATCGTCATCATCATCATCAACATCATCATCATCATCATCATCNTCATCATCATCATCATCAGCAGCAGCAGCAGCATCATCGTCATCATCATCATCAACATCATCATCATCATCATCATCGTCATCGTCATCGTCATCATCATCATCATCATCATCGTCATCATCATCATCATCATCATCATCATCATCAGCAGCAGCAGCAGCAGCAGCGATGCTTCTGTCACCCCTGAACAGTCAGAAAACACAAACTTCAGCAGCTTCTTTTCAATACTGTCCAATAAATTCAAAGGTGGAGCTGCATGGGCCTGACAGAGGGACACATGTCAGAGCGTCTGGAGGGAGGCTGCGCTTTGACCTGCTGGACCACCATGGTGGCTGATCACCATGGTAACCGCAATTCGTCTAAAGACTGAAGCTAGTTCACGTCTCCGTCATCCTGGGACGTGTCCGACCGGAGTGAACTTTAGCTACAGTATCGACGGTTTCGCTGATCACATGTTCTGTGTTCCTCACAGCGCTGCATTAGAACGACCAGCTCCTCCGACTGAAGGAGGCGGCACATGATTGGTCCGTTCACTGCAGAACAACAGTCACATGACGCAGGAAACGCCTCCTTCAATGGAGCACGCTCAGACGATGAAGAAAACCTAGTTAACAAAGAAAGCTGCTCGACACCGCCTGACAGCTGTGATTGATCCTTTATCTGTGATTGATTCTGTGATTGATCCTTTATCTGTGATTGATTCTGTGATTGATCCTTTATCTGTGATTGATTCTGTGATTGATCCTTTATCTGTGATTGATGCATTACCTACACTTAGCTGCCTCAGCATTATAAACTGGACCCGGGCGTCTCTGCGTACGGTCTGGTGCGATTCGTCCCCTGGAGAACATGAAAGTCCAACTTCAGAGGTCTCGTCAGATGTGAGCAGCTCGTGGATGAGCCCAGCGACACCAACAGTCGTGTGCGGAGTCACCGAGCCCCTGAAGGCCTCCTCAGCCCGGTGGATGAGTTTAACGGAGCTGCTGATCGGTGTCTCCTGAGGCCTCATTCTCAGGATCCTGCAGCTCCTGCTAACAGGCGCTAATCCTGCTAACAGCGCTAACTGTGCAGCTGATGAAGAGGCCACCGCGGATCCCAGCAGCCGATCAGGACCGTCTCAGATGAACGGATTCCTGTCCGGTTGTTTTTAACCTTCTACATGCACACGTCTGCTGACATGAACCTCACAGCTCCTCACACGCTCCGTCTGAAACACGTTCTGCTGTCAAATATGAAACATGTTCCTCTGATGTTTTCATCGAACAGAGTCAGCAGAGACCAGAGGTTAGAAACCAGTCACATGGAACCCACCAGCAGCTCTGAAAGACAAATGATCTTTTTTGAAAATCCCTAAAACGACACTATCAGCAGAAACTGACAGTCCATCTTTGATGACCAGTGAGGGAGGCCACCGAGACTCCTACGACTCCTCTGAAGGAGTTTCTAGATGTTCAGACTGATGGAGTCCAACAGGACCAAGGCTGGACCTGCAGCTGAAGGTTCTTCTCCTGAACACTGACTGAAGGAGGAGAACACTGATGGATTCACTTGCTCTGTGCTCCCTGTGACCTGACATATGGTCGTACGGCGGCTGTATCTCGACTGATTCCTGCATCAACACGTCTGCGTAAGAGGATTAGCTGTGATTGGTCGGCTTCGGTACCCCACACCAACGCTCTGCTGCTAATCTGCCTGGAAGCTGGCAGGTGGAGGATCAGAGGACTAATCACCTGGCCTACCTGTCCTCAGCACGGTTTATCTGCACCGGCTGCTGCTGCTGCTGCCATGAGTTCAGGTGAACTCCAACAGGGTTCTGCTGCTTGACACATGAGCAGGACCGTCTGGTAGAACCTCTCGGACCTGAGTTCAGGTTCTGGGACTTCCTGTAAAGCTTTTGCTGACCTGCGGCTCCACATGAGCAGCAACAGGAAGGAAACTCTGAACAGCTCTCAGTGAAAAGGTCCAGCGAGCTGTTGTGTTCAGAACCAGGTAGATGACCCACCTGGCTTCAGGTAAATGAGAGCTGCAGCAGGAGCTGATGGGACCAGTGA